TGAAAATTATGTTTTTTAATCGGTCAAACTAATAAATAAATAACGAATTAGAAATTTTGACCGCAACCGATCAGGTACACCCTAGTCTAACGGCAGAAAAAATACCCAGGGCGGACTTAGTCACATGGGTCCACTAGCCAAACTCTGTATTCCAGCTGCCATGTGTTCCTCGAGTCCAGATCCCCTCATTGAGCCCCCTCCTTCATTCCCTCCTTGCAGGGGCCTTCGGGTCCACTTTGAAGCCCAGTTTTGATAATCCGAACCGTTCATATTTTTAGATTTATTCAGTATATTATACCTGTAAAAAATCAAGTTGATCGGATATCAGAAAGTATGCGTTCAAAAAATTGGGACTACAAACTATTTTTTAATAAATAGTTTTCCGAATACATACTTTATGATATTCGATCAACTTGATTTTTTACAGGTATGATATACTGAATAAATCTAAAAATATGAACGGTTCGGATTATCAAAATTGGGCCTCAAAGTGGGCCCGAAGGCCCTGCAAGAAGGGAATGAAGGACCGAAATGAAGGGGAGGATCCCAATTCGTGTTCCTCCCACGCTAATAAAACGGAGTAAGGATTTTCTAGAGTTTTTTTTTTTTTAAAAGTTTTCTAGAGTAGTACATTGTGTGGTTGAGATTTAATGACAAGTCACATTAATTTTTTAATATTAAATCTCAACCATACAATACACCACTATAAGAAACTTTAAGAAAAAATACTATAAAAGATCCTTAGTGAATAAAACGAAACCAAAAATTTTCTCTCTCTATTTCTCTCTGAAAAAATCTAGGGAGTGAAACAAAATCCGCTGCTTCGGCCGCTGCGCTCGCTTTTATACACACAGTTTCAATTCTCATATACATATATATATATAGGGAGAGAGGGGGGTATCTGACAATGTCCCGATTTCCGTGGAGTTCAGATCTTCGGCCGCTCTTTCCAGCAGCACTCCCAGCAGCACTACAAAACGACGCCGTTTTGTATATATATATATATTTTTTCCTTTCTTTTCTTCATATTCACCTTTCCCCTTTCCATTTTTGAACCCTAGACAGAGGACACGAAGGAGAGGAGAAGCGGCCGAAGATCTGAACTCCATAAATTCCAGAGAAGAACAAACCAAACCCCCTCTCTGTCGATCGTAAAATCGCCGATTATGGTCAGTTCATTCTCTGTGTGTGTATATGTGTGTGTGTGTGTTTGTGCTCCAATTCGATCAATTGTTTTACCATTCAATCTCTCTGATTTTTATTTTTTGGTGAATTATCTATTCAATTTGAATTGCTTCCGAAAAACATTTTTGTTTTGTTTTGTTTTTGTTTTTGTTTTTGTTTTGTGGGTTTTAGTTCTGACTAGGTCTTGTTTTTTGAATGTTGTTCTCTGGAATGTTTTCTGCCGTGACTGTTTCTGTTTTAGTATGTTGTTGTTTTTCTTTTTTGCTTGAAGATTTGCAGGAAGGTATAGTTTGATGATCTTTAGGGTTAGGCTTACCTATTTAATGTTGCTTTCTGATCACTATTTTTCTGTGTATATATATATATATATCCACAAAGATGTGTAGATATAAATAAACACTCACTCAGTTTAAATTTTTAATGGACATGTATACATCTTGTCTTATCAATCATCATATACTACTATCTGTAATTGTTAAACTACTGCATTTTAGTTCTCTCTCTTTCTCTCTCTAAATTCCTCAATTGTTTCAATTTCTCTCAATCCGCTTGTTCTTCTTCATTGCTGGACGTTTGGATTCTATTTAGGGTTAATTTGATTGTGCACCTATAACTTGGTCTTGTTTGGTTTCATTGATTTTGATGGAAGATAATTGATGCATTATGACTTAAAAGCATGGGTGATAGCTTAGAACCACTAGAAATAAACTTCATAATCCAATTGCAAATATTGCCCAGATAGTGTATGTAGGTAGGGGAAAAGACCACAAGAAGCAAAACTGATCACAGCACAATGTCAATTAATACACTTTTTAATAGTATTACAAATTCATAAATTGGTGATTTTGCATAAATTAGTTCCATATATCCCACTAGGCTATTTAAGTTACTCTTTGTTATTATGGGATGCTTTTTTTGCTTCTCTTTTTTTTTACTAATTGGAACCTAACCATCTTTCAAACTGCAATATTGATGAGATAGATGAAGATGCTTTGAGAGAATTATTACAATCAAGTAGTCAAACCATACAATTATTGATAAGTGGAGAACCAAGCAATATTGCACTCTACCCGACGGGTCACCCTTGCTATGGTTTATGTAAATATACTAAAAGGTAAGGTCAACTAGACATAGGGGTCAACCTGCTCGCTGCTTAACTGCGTTTCCTACTTTGGTAATCGTCTTTCCATTAAGATGGCTCTGTTGTTTCTCAAATGCGATTATGAGCATTGACTTATCTCCATGGACAACCTAGGTGGCAAAGTGGCCACCAGGCAGTAAACAATCGATCCTACCTAGCAAAGGTTGTTAGAAGATAAATTTCTCATTATGTAAGTATACATACAAATATATTGTGGCACTTGCATACTCTAAACTCGTTTTCAGCCCACCACTTCTCCGCTTGCTCCTCATTGAGACATTTCCGACTGTAGAAAGATAGAAATGATCAATAACCATAGTTAATTTCTAACATGCATTACAAACATGCTAAAGAATCCCATAATATTATATTTCCAACTCTTAAAAAGGTAAAATATCAATACCTGAAGCGAACTCGTTTAAGTTCATTGCGACCCCCTGGCAAGGAGGAAAGAGTTATGTACACGCCCGGTTCATCTTGCACCACCCACTCTGACTTCTCATTGAGTGTCTTTGTTCCATTAAATAAGAACGGATTAGATGAATTGATATTGGACTCACTTCTAGGAGAGATTATGCTCATCATGTTGCCCTCCTTAGAGGTTGGGATTGGATCACCCAAAGCACGTCTAACAATAGGATTTAACTTTTTGCCGGCAATATGCCCTTCGGCCACCCTTTCAGCCATCTCCTTCAACTGTCAGAAAAATGGACAATCCATAGTATTAGAACAAACAACAAAATAGGAACCAACACAGCACCCAACTCCACAATAAAGATACCTAAACAAATTAGTTAAGAAAAAATTGGAGAATTTGAGCAATGGATATACATTCCACGTAATCCTTGTTTTTTTTCTGTTTAACTTGTCAATGCATAATCTGCAAGATTTTCTCGTTTGCTGTCACATTAGGCTTTTATCAACAGGATATATGTAATACCATTCATCTTAGAATTTTCTATCATGACACTGCTTACCATGGATAAGTTGAACTTATAATGCACAAGGCACCATTACAGCCCATGTCATGTAAATCATGAATTTCAAAAACACTTGGCCACTATAACATAACAAAGCATATACAAAATCTGAACCAGCAGGTGTATGTAGGAATGATATGATTCAAGTTGAATGTGTATATAACTTTACTATGAATTGTGTGCATAATTTTGCAGATGTCAAGTTCAACTGTTAACGGAGGTACCTCAGATCAGTTGACGTTCAACAACAGAAATTGCCCTAAATGTCATAAGAAAGCAACTATTCAAATTTCGGAGACGGAACAAAACAGAAACAAATTATTTTATTGTTGTAAAAATTGCGGCGATTTTATGGGATGGTGCTTGCCTACAAATTCACAAGGTAGACGTGAAGGACTAGTGCAAATGGAAAATATGTCAACTGTCACCGAACAACAACTTCGACTTATGAATGAACAACTTCGATTTCAAAGTGAAGAACTGCAATTTATGAGGGCGAAGATGCTTAAGTTGGAAACAGACATAAATCAAAATTCGAGTCGTATTTATGGGTTGTGTATGTTGCTTGTAATTGGGATCGTGTTAGTTATAAAAATGTAATAGTTTTGTAATCTTTGCGACCCATGACAGCTAGTGGCAGGTTGTATGGTTATGTGGTTAGGTAAACTATATGTTTGTATGGTTAACTGGACTTGTTAATTTTGTATGGTTATATGGTTATGTAATGGCACTTGGTTATTTTGTTCATTTTGTCCAGCAGAGCTGTGTAATCTGTGTAATCAGTTTGTATGGTTATGTTGTGCACTTTGTATAGTTATGATTATGTTCAACCTGTCCGTTACAGGAAAATAAACTCTTAGGACCATGTATAGTCCAATAAATATTGATGAACTTCTACTATATATTTGGGTATTCTCAGTTTCTTTTCTTTTATGATTTTTCTGTGAGAGTTTCAATTGTAGCCACAGTTGTGAACTAGTGGTGGTGATGCAATAACATTTTGGCCAGTGTTATAATTTGGGTGTTTCTCTTCAATTATGATAATTTCGGTTGAGACTTTAAATCAGATCCATATAATTCTAGAGCATACTTAGCAATATAATTGCTAAAGACACAAGGAGTACAAGAACATCATTACACGTAAACCATGGGAGAAGAGGCAATAGATATCAAAATCGACACCCTGCACAAGAAGCTGAAGCCTGCACATATCATCAGTGCTAATAACATTTCGTCTTTGAATTAGACGCATAATCAAAACAATTTATCAGAAAATTCTTAACAAACTTCTTTTACAGAAACTACATTCTTACAGGAAACTACTATGCCCAAAACAAAGCAAACCTTACAATCAATAAAATAACTGCAAATTTGGGGCAGTCTCTGTGACATATGCATCAACCATTTCTAGTCTCTTGAGCATAAATGAAGTACATCTAGTTATATCAACTAATGAACACATCAATCCCAATGATCAGCCTCATAGGCCTATCCTTGCACCTATTTGTTCATTTTGTCCACAATTAAGTGGACAGTCCGAACAGTACAAAAAATTGAATGGAAAAACAAAGTAAACTATGAATACATAAAACATTACAAATACAAATCCATAAAAATTATACAAATCCCACAAAACATTACAAATACATACAAAAAATTGTCCATCAAAAATATCCAAATCCCACCGAAACAAAAAAAAAAATACACCCAAATCCACAAATATAATAACATCATCGTTCAGTGCAAGCCTTCCAGGGATGTCCATCCACACGACTGTCAGCAGGACTATGTGAGGCTTGTGACAGTTGGACTGCAGTACTATCTCGAAGCAATTTCTGAAACGATGTCGGAGTAGGATACAGTAAAGGCATTGAATCAGGCGGCCTTGACTGAGGCGTGTTATTTCCCTGCAATAGTGATACATGTATTAAACTTTTTTTAGAATCTATACTACATTTTCAATGTAAAGTATGTAACCAATTACAACTCACATCATATGTAGGATACATGACATGATGTACACTTGTACGACCCATGGCAAATGAAGGTTGAGATTGGGATTCAGGTCGAGATTGGGATTGAGGTTGAGAAATATAGGTTGCACGACCATCACCCTAAAGTAAACCAACGTAAAAAATTAAAGTATGAAATGAAAAATAGTAATAATGTATTTTCATTTTACAAAACATACAATATGAAATATTACCTCGGCATAATTAGTATGACACATGGCAAAAGAAAGTTGAGATTGGGATTCGCGACCATGACCCTAAAGTAAACCAACACAAATAAAAGAAGAATGTCCATCAAAAAAAATTATAATGTATTTTAATTTTTAAAAACATACAATATGAAATATTACCTGAACGTAATTACTACGACCCATGCCAGAAGGGGGTCGAGATTGACCTTGTGGAGTGTAAAAACCCTAAAGTAAACCAACATAAAGCAAAGAATAAGACAATGCATTTTCAAAAAAATTCATAATGCATTTTCATGTTCAAAAACAAACAATATGTGATATTACCTCAACATAATTACTACCCATGGCAAAAGGAGGTCGAGATTGACTTTGTGGAGTGTAAACACCCTAAAGTAAACCAACATAAAGCAAAGAATAAGACAAAGTTCATAATTCCGTATGAGGTTCAATTTCCCTAACGTCTATGCATGTCAAAGGTAAACATCCTAAATTAAATATTACCTGTATCGAATGATTACCCATGTCGGAAGAAGGTTGAGATTGACCTTGATAAGTAGAAAAAGAACCATCCTACATGCATCACAAAAGACCAAAAATAATCAATATAACGCTACTAGTTGCAAGAATAATGAATCCATCAAATTAATACAAGGTTGCACACAATAGTAAAAATTACCTTACTAGAAAAATTACCCATGGCAACAAGAGGCTCATATTGACCTTGAAGAGTACAAAAACTATCACCCTGCAAACAACCAAATTATTTAATAAATTATTTTCGTAACACACATAACACAAAATTGATAACACATAACAATCAGACATAACTTCAATTAATTACCTGCTTAGATTGCATTCTTTTCTTCTTCGCAATATATTTTTCCATCCCGCCCTTGATCCTCCTTCTTCCCTTAGTAGTTGCTTGTCTTTTCTTCAGTCCCTTGGCTTGGATTGGACAATCTACTTCATCACTCTGTGGGCATGTGTTAGCTAAGGAATTTCTGAATTCAGTGATCTCCACTTGACCAAAAGTGTGCACACTTAATTTGTCTTCAACCATGACACTCAGTTCTTCACCTTTTGCAAGTGACAAATGATAAGTTTCTTCACTTTCGGCGGCTCTACTTGCAATAGCTCTAAACATATTCATCAATGACCTATATCGGTCGCTTTGATGTAGTTTGACATCAGCCTTCACATCATACCCACACCTATCTTTCACAGTTTCAGCCCTTGCTTTTTTAGTCCATCGTTTGAGTATGTATTGTGCAGGAAGGTCCTTTGCATTGATTATCTCTCTAAGCACCTTTAAACAATGTTGACACACTATGCCCTTCACTTCAAACTTCTTGCAACTACAACTCAAAAAACCATCTCTATCCATTGTCACATTCTTATCTTTTTTTCCATCTACATCCGTTTGAATTGTGAACATGGTACTCTCACCATCATGAATAGTGCCTACAATGGACGCTTCAATGGACTGCACGTACTCATTTTGGAATTCCTCAAAAATTGTTTTGGTGTAAATATCTGCCATTTGCTTTAACATCACAGTTGGAATGGCAACCCTTGGCAATTTTTGACACAAATTATACTCGGCTTCCAATTCTTTATACCTTTTGTCATAGAGCACCCTCTCAAAATGCTTGAAAAATTCCATCAAGTTATGATCACAATTGAGATAATCCTTCAAAAATGCATTGAATGATTCACTTAGTTGAGTAGTACTCATTCCAGCTGCCCAAGAATTCATAATATATGGCCATCCCCATTTCTCCTTCACACCAAAAGTTTGCGCCAACTAATGATTGTTGTGTGTATCATACCTATCAAGCATTTGGTCCCATGGTATTCTAAATTCTTCTTCATCATCAATTTTATGCATAAATTTTGAAAACACACCCTTCACGCTTACATCTTCGAAAAGAGAACTTACATACTTGACAGCATTTTGCATCAAATGCCATGTACAAAGTCGATGGTTTGTACTAGGCATGACAATGGGAATGGCCTTAGCCATCGCAGCATCTTGATCGGTGAAAATAGTTTTTGGAGCTTTGTTTGACATTGCCTCCAAAAAAATCTGAAACAACCATGTGAATGATTCGGCAGTCTCATCATGCATCAATGCTGCACCGAATACAACAGTTTCTCGATGATGATTAAATCCAACAAAGGTTTCAAAAGGTCTATGTTCATTATTTAATTTGTAAGTAGTGTCAAAGGTCACTACATCACCAAATTGAGCATAGTCCATTATCATTTGTGCATCCGCCCAAAATATGTTACTTATTTGCTCTTCACAATCTAATTGGACTGCATAATAAAAGGATGGATTTTCTAAACTTTTCTTACGAAAGTATTGCAACACACTACCCGCTTCTCCATATTCCAAATCTTTTTGTCTCTTCGATCTCAAGTAATTTTTTTGGTCCAATTTGGTGAAGCCAAGTGATGCTCTTCCACCAGATTCCCTACCAAATAGCTCATAAGCAGACCTAAGAGGAATTCCAGATTCTGCAGCCAATTCTACTTCAATTGCTTGGGTGGTAGATATTTTTCTTTGGGATGGCAACATATGAATGCACTCTTGAGGCACAAGATCATGATTATGATGTTCAACAAAATCAATGGCAACATATTTTCCTAAATTTCTATCTAACTTGATACTAAATCGAGCACGACAACCACACCTCACCTCTTGTCTCGGAAATTTTACTAGTGGATCTCGCTTGTCAATACCCCGAGTTCCCTCTTTGTAACATACAAAAGTCCGTGAAGTTATTTCCTTAGTATGTTTGTTCTTGTGTGCATATAGCTTCTTAATACTAAAGCCCACCTTTCCGCCATAGGTATTATAAAAATCATATGCAGCTTGTTCAGAGTCAAATGACATGCCCAATTTTGGCTTCCAACCACAATTAGCCAACTCATTAACAACATTATTTTCTTCGATTACCTGCAATTCGATTTATAGGTTATGGGGAGTGGTTTATTAAGGTAGTTTTATTTTATAATTTTGTAAATCTCTCTGAAATGATGGACCAGATCATAGTTATAAATGATGTCTTTTATATATAACTATCATAGTTACAAATGATATTGAAAAATCAATCATAGTTACTAATCACTCTTCTTTATAATTACTAATTTCTGAATTCACAAAATCCTTAATTATATATAAATCCTTAATTATATATACAAATTAATATAGAGAAATGTATAGAGAAAAATTAATATATACATTGGTATATTTGTATATTTGTAATGTCTGCAAATCAAAGCACTGGTAATGTGAAAAATTAATATATACATTGGTATATTTGTATATTTGTAATGTCTGCAAATCAAAGCACTGGTAATGTGAAAAATTAATATATACACTGTATTTGTAATGTCTGCAAATCAAAGTAAGTATAAAAGATATCATTTATAACATATACTTATTTCAATAAAAGATACAAATATACCAGTGATATCTTTTATACTTATTTTGTATCTTTTATACACTGGTATATTTGTATATATACACAGGTATAATATATACTTATTTCAATCTCTTTCAATCTCTTTGTAATGTCTGAAAAATTATATTTGATACGACTGAAATAGAGAAATTAGTCTGAAAAATTAATATTTGTAATGTCTGAAAAATTAGTCTGAAAAATTAAATTGTATATAGCACTGGTATATTTGTAATACATACAAATACAGAGATGGGCAAACAAATACAGAGATGGGCAAACTCTCTCCCTCTGGTATCAGTTATTTTCTGTTAAACTTTTTATATCTGTTTCAAAAAAACAAAAACAAAATCAATCTTCTGAAAATTCAGCACCTCCCGTGTTCAGACATTTTAAACACTTATCAAGGTTCACTTCTCATCTTCTAATACTAATGCCCCTTCAAAAAGTTGCTTTTTTGCACATCTGGATATGGATTTTGCTGAGCATTTCAATACCAGTTTTGAGTTGTAACCCATCAATTATTTCCCAGCTTTATTAATTTTTCTATCTGGGTTGCAGAAAAATTAATATTTTATTATCTATTATTCACATATTAAAACAACAAAAATTATATAGAGATGGGCAAACAAAAATTATATTCGGATACCTCGTCACAGCCAAACAAAATACATACAAATACAGAGGTTCAAATATAGACTGAAATATCATTGAAATATAGAGACTGACATATTTGTAATGTATACATTGATTATCCATACAAAATGTACAAATACAGACTGAAATATACATATATACATAACACAGAGACTGAAATTTACCTCGTCACAGCCGGACTCGCGTCCATCCGCCATCGTCGCGTCACAGCCGGACTCGCGTCCCTCCGCCATCCTCTCTCCATTACCATCGCCTCCGTCCACCATCGTTCTCTCCGTTCTCCAGCGCCTCTCTTCTCTCTCTCTCTCTCTATCCAGCTGCGTGGTTTGTTAGGGCAAAACAGAGGAGATAGAGAGAGAGAGAGAGAGAGAGAGAGAAGAGAGGTGCTGGAGAACGGAGAGAACGATGGTGGACGGAGGCGACGGTAATGGAGAGAGGTTGGCGGAGGGACGCGAGTCCGGCTGTGACGCGACGATGGCGGATGGACGTGAGTCCGGCTGTGACGAGGTAAATTTCAGTCTCTGTGTTATGTATATATGTATATTTCAGTCTGTGTATTTACATTTTGTATGGATAATCAATGTATACATTACAAATATGTCAGTCTCTATATTTCAATGATATTTCAGTCTCTATATTTCAATCTCTGTATTTGTATATATTTTGTTTGGCTGTGACGAGGACCCCCCCCCCCCAAGGTCAATTAAGTGGGTGTTTGGGAAGTGGGTTTTTATGTAGGTTTTTTTAGTTGTAGGATATTATTGGATAAAAATTTTTTAGTGTTCGGAAAAATAGTTAGGTTTTTTTGTGATTGGATGTAATGTTTGTGAGAAAAAAAGTGAAATGATTATGGGGTTGGATGTGATATTTTGTTTGGATGTGTTTTTTTTTCGTTTTGCAAAAAAGTTTGTCTTTTAACGGAAAAAATCAAAAACAAATCCCAAACCCAAGTCCCCAAACACCACCTAAGTCTGTAGCTGCGGCACGATAAATAAATTGTATAATCATAGGATATAGCGTCCGAGGGATACTATGCATGTACCTATTGAACAAGTCTTGAATCCCCAACCTCCCAAGTATTCTACTCCATTTTGGACGCTTGTCTTCCTCTTCGAATAGATCGATTTGCCCCATCTTTTTAGACCACTTCTTCTTTTCGAAAAACCAAGGAAATTTCTGCCACAATCGGATTGCCCATTTGCCTCTGCTGCACTTAATTAGCCAAATCATCGCCAAATCAGAGAATAATAACAAAATTACTGCATAAATCTCCAAAGCTAGAGCTCCGACCAATAATACCCCTGTGATGACAATATCAACCATGGAGTAATGCCGCTTGTGCCACTTCGCTTGCCACTTCGCTTCCATGGCGATAAGCCGGAAGAGTCCTACCAACACAGACACCGTACACATGAAGCTGATAAAGCGAAAAATGCACCCTCTCTTGGTAAATGTTATGGATGCTTTTGTGTATAACAAATCGTACATGAGCCCCATTTCAACCTCCAATATATCCCCAATATGTGAACCATCATTCGGATCCATTGCATTCAGAAATTTTTTATTTCCTTTTGCATTCCATTCCATTCCATGAATGCATATCTACCAATGTCATAATTCTCTATATAATCTCTAAATTTCGCCATCAGCAAGCAGGCCATATCGAAAACTTCTTCATCTCTCTCCTCTTGTTTGATAGGGCGAGCAAGATTACCTCCGTATAGATCTAATTGATCATAATGAAAGGGTACAATGTGTCCTGATTCATCGTGGCATGCTAACTTAAGAGGCCCATGTTCTCTCCCCATACTTAATAATTCCAGCCACGAATGCCGGAATTAACATAAATGAAAACCAAAAATGCCTCCAAGACATAACAATGACATAAATTGCCACAGTAGCTTGAACACCCATGCCCAAAAAATGCCTTATCCACAATTGATTATCTTCTAAAGAATAAGCCGTTATAGTATCTGGGCCACCAAAATGCAATAAAAGGAAGGGTGCCCATAATGCCTGTAATGCATTATTGGGGTTAGGAATATTATTTTGGGCATCAGAGAGCTTGCCAAGAGCAACAGTTGCCACCCAATCGGCCATTATGTAAGCCAACCAAACAATCACATTAATCCATTTTGACGAAATATTCTTTCTGCGTTTGCCAAAAACGAAAAGAATGATTTGTAAAGTGAGACTAAGTAGAACCAGCATCCGAACATCCCACACATTCCATAGTATCTTCCACGATGTTGGAATCAGATTCATCACACCCTTCTCTTCTTTATCCACATGGAGAGAAAATTAAGTTACTATGAGTAAACATTAGATGGATAAATATGAATTGAACATTGTTATCCAACCTAAAAAATTAGACTCACTTTTTAAATTCAATGATGTGGCACTTAATTAAAATATCTAAAGTAACATTCTCTCTTATATATTCTCTATCATCAACCAATCATCTCACTCAAACATCATTGGGTCTAAAAAGTAAGATTGTATATCATTATGACATTATCCATCGTGGTAACACATTATAATTGAGAATGAATATTCAAAAATTTCTACAACACAACTCTTTTTTTCTTTTTCTTTTTATTGTGCACCATATGCAAGTTATAATAATTTATGATGTCAATAGAACTACAAAGTGTCTTAACCAAACCACTTTCAGTCAAAGCTAAAGAAATCAAAATGGGTCATAACTAAATACCTTAATGAATTATAATTAACACCACAACGAATTATAGTCAACATCAATATGAGTCATAATCAAACGCCACTTGCATCATAACTAAAGACTTTTTTAATCGTAACCAAAATAACAATCACAATTAAAAAAAATAAATAAACAAAACACAATAATCTCTAACTTTTGTAGATAAAAAAAAGTAACAACCATAATAAATCATAACAAAGTCCTAACCACTACCCTAATAGGTAGTAACTAAGTCAAAACCAATATTACAATCGATTATAACCAAACATCACAAAAATCAAAACTAGGCATATGATACACTCTAGGGGTATTGTAACAACCCTCACCTTACTCTTGCCATACTTGCATACATTCTTGCATGGTCTTGCTGCTTACATTAATTTAAAAGTTTTATCTTGGCTCGATTTGCTTAAGTTGCTTGCATGATTTTGTTCCTTGCTTAGTGCGTGCGCGTAGCCGAGATCATCTTGAGCTTAGTCCGCCTTTGACCCTTTGTACTTAGAACCATCTTGAGATCTTGTTCAACCCCATCTTCACCTCGGGCATTCTTTGCCGAGATGTTTCGCACTTGAACCTTGTCCGCAGGCAGGTATGGCCTAGGCCGAGATGTGGCGCACCCCGGCCAAGGTGTGGCACAGCTTAGTCAAGCGTCGTCCTCCCTAGCCGATGTTTTTCCATCCCGTTGTTGGATCCTTGTTTTGAGCCGATGTCATCTTGTTGCCGATGTGTCTTACCCGAGCTTGCTGCATACGTTTTGTCAGAGGCTGTCTTGTCTATCAATCACCTTTTTGGAGCTGAACCAACCCGGTAACGCCACGTGTCCGAGCTGACTGTTAAGGCAGCCGGCAGACCTAGAAACAAATCATTTTTTGTCTCAAATCTTTGTTTTAGAGAGAGAAGCTCTAGAAAGGAGGAAGAAGAGTTCTTGAGTGAGAGTAGTCTTCCAAGCTTGATCTTGAATGGAGATGTTAATCTAGCCGACATCCCAGTGGTTAACGAATTCCCCGACGTCTTTCCAGATGAATTGCCTGGCCACTTAACCGATAGAGAAATAGAGTTTACTGTTGACATCATGTCGGGAACACAAC